AATGATTTTGAAAAGGAAGATAGCAGATGTTTCAGTGTACTTTTCTCTTTTACTTTGTTTCGAAGTCCTCTTCTTTTTGGGGTTTACAATCTGTTGCTGTGCCTGTGGTGATTTTTTTTACTTTTTCGAATCCCTTGTTTTTTTAAGGGTTGAATGATATGCTATTATGTTATTGTTGTTGTTGTTGCCCTAATTGAATAATCCACCAAACAGCATGTGGGCCTTATTTTAATGATATACTATTATATTCCTTTCCTGTTTTTAAAAAAATATTGTTGTAAAGGTGTTTTTGTCTTACTTTACTCTTTTGTGTGGGCTGAGAAAAACAAAAGTATTGTTTTGTGCTAATGGGCTAACATTGAATTATAATAGTTTGTTCATATATTGAAGCTTAAACAGAAAATTTTGCCCCAGGCTACAGCCCATGTGAGCCCCTTGCTAGTTCCACCCTTGACAACATGCGTGTGGAGTTGAGTGGGCATGATGCAGAGCTACTTAAGGAGCATTTTTTAGATGAGCAAGAAAAGAATGAATCATTTTATTTCAAGATGGAAGTAGATTTAGAAGGAATGACGGGTAATGTTTTCTAGTCAGATACAAGGTCAAGATGAGCTTATGAGTTTTTTTTAGAGATGCAGTGGTATTTGATACGACATTCAACACGAACAGCTATAGGATGGTCTTTGCGCCCTTGTTAGGTGTTAATAACCATCAACATACAATGGTTTTTGGTTGTGCATTCCTAACCAGGTGAGTCACCCAAAATTATCACCATTGATGAAGATGCAGCCATGTCAAAGACAATTGCTGTAACTCCCCTGAAAACATTCCATATAGATATTGCATATGGCATATCTTGAATAAGTTTACAGAGAAACCCGGCATTGGTGAATATTTTTTGAAAATGTGCAAATGCATAAGGGTATGGACACGAAAGAAGAATTTGATGCGAAATGGGACGAAATCATCACAAACAATGGGTTGAAAGACCATCCGTGACTGAGCTCAATTCATGCTTTGCGGGAGAATTAAGTTCCATAATATGTAAAACATGTGTTTTCGGCTGGGATGTCAAGTAGTCAATTGGCCAAAAGCTGTCATTTATTTTTCAAACAATATATTAACCCAAAAAATACATTGATGGAATTCATAGTACGTTTTGAAAGAGCTCTTAGTTCACAAAGGCACAAGGAGTTAATGGTTGATCATGTTGATAACAATGAAAAACCTCCAATGCCATTTCGAATACTAATGCAACATCAAATGACACACATTTACACTTGGGCAATTCGTGAAATGTTTGAGAGGGAAGACTTCAAAAGCTTTTGATGCTTGTTCGAACTTGTAGAGCAAGATGAGACCCACTGTAGGTATAAAGTAAGTGAGCAGGTAAAAACGGGGGTTACACGGATGAAGGAGCTTGTGCATGATAAAGATGCCGATAAAGCTTATTGCAGCTGCAAAGGATTTGAATTTTGGGGTATTTCGTGCCAACACATCCTAACATTTTTAATAATGAAGCAGGTTGAGCACTTTCCAGACAAGTACATATTGAAACGATGGCTTCAAAGTGCAAAGTATAGTGTAGTTTTTGATAAGAATGATAAAGAAGTTACAGATTGCATTGACAATTTGCTTTTGGTTAAGAGATCGAAACTTTGCAAAGTTGTAGGTGATTTGATTGATTTAGCTTTGTTGTGCGATGAAGGTTTTGAGTTGCTGGAAAAATCATTTAACGACATTCGTGGGAAGCTTACTAGGTTAGTGTCATCAAGAGCTCATGTCGAAGAGCCCAATGAAGAGGTCAGAACTAGTTCTCCTCAAGTGAGAATGAAAGATCCACATCGAGTCAAAGCAAAAGGCCGTGCAAAAAGAGTTAAAGGACAAAAAGAGAAGGCAGCAGAATGACATAAACGTCGGTGCACTAATGTAAGAAGATTGATCATGATAGACAGAGTTGTCCAAAACTTGCGAGTCCGTAAGTGAATATATCGCATATTGTGGATGTGGCAGCTCTTCATTTATAGCTTTGAATTTTTTGTCGTCATTGTTTATTTTTTTTTGTCGATGTGGCAGCTCTTCATTTATGCAGCCAGTTGCTAAGCATATGCAGCCTACTCAGAGCACCCAAAACAGTGAACCTATTATGACAGAATCATTTATGCAAGAGTTTGATTTCATTTACGATCTCGTAGTTTGAATATTTGTTATTACCTATTTGCGTCATTTTTGAATGTATCTGGAAGTGTTAGTAAATCTTAGGTAAATGGTTCATGTCCGATACTGAATTATGGTTTGTTAAACACATAAACACAGTCAAACCTATAAAAACAAAATTACCTTTTAATTCAATAATTATGAAGTGTCACACATATATTGCATGACTTACATTCGGAGTTACATAAAAAAGAAAAAAAAGAAATTAAGGTAAATAATAAATTACTTGAAGGGCCACTTAGTTCTCAGCATTAGAGTCATCAGTTGACTCAAAGCGGCCATGTTCCTCCCAATCTAGAATGAGTTTGTCATTGTAGCAATTCTGGCACCACTCTAAGTTTGGGGGTTTACACTTACAAACAATGGGAGATGGGGACTTTAGGGGAGAAGGGGTTGGGGACCGATAATAATGAATATTGTCTGGACATATCGCAAAAATATCCCTGCATGTCCCACAAGGACGGCTGTGAATGGCACAATGCTTGCAATAATTAGGGAATCTCAACGTGAGTTTTATACACAAATTTCCAACAGTTCCAATCAATATCAAAATATCTGTGTTAGTAAGGGAAACTTAAAACCATCACTATGTGTTAGTAATGTCTCAAAGAACCAAATTTCTATGTCAAAGAATCTTGAATGAAATTTTCTCCCCACCGATAATGAATTAAACAAAAAATTTGAGCATTATTAGTAAATGAACTCTGGTAACCCAGAAGTTAGTGATTGAACTATGGTAATAACATACAACCTAAGGCTCTGATACCACATGTAAAACCAAATAAGCTGTATGTAATCAACACAAACCAAGATCGGCCATTAACATGTAAACACTAACCGAGATTGGGAATTAACAAAAAACAAACAACTCAATAACGATGGCTTAGGGATTCATATGGCTATCACCAGTCATGCATTATCGTTGCCTTTTCAATCATTATAGGCATCTATTGGTTGGTGGCCGTGCTCTGTTGGGTGTACACCACATAGATGATTCCTGTGCAGCTGACTAGGTTATGGCGTCCCAATCAAAATTTTTGTAAGCATTTGCAGCGAATCGTCGGAATTTCTCAAAACCTTCGTTGAAAGTCACAAACATTGCTTGGCCATGCTTGTCACCTCCTTTGTGTATGCTCAAAGTCTTGTATGTAGCATCCTCCTCTGTCATATGCAAATCCTCTGTTTTGTGCTTTCTTCTTTGGGCACAAATTCTGTACTTCTCTTTTTTGTAACACGCTTTGTTAACTTGCCGCGTCAAATAAGCCAACTTCTGCTCAGCTCTGACATACTTTTCAGTCCAATAATGGACCAAGGAAGAGTTGTGTTTCAGTTTGTTCTTCATATCATTTGTTTCCAGAGCGGGATCATCAGAGTCTCCCTCGCTTGCGGAGGAGGTTGGAAGAGGCAGTGGTGATGGACGGGACCTTGGATATTCTAGGGCATATTCCCATGACCCATTGGAGTCCCCCTGATTCACATTAGCGCTTGAACCAGCGGACATGTTCAACAAATTTCAGATTGGGGGATTCGGCTGAA